ATTAGTTTTATATTAGTTTTGTATGTCGTTAATATAAAAAAGGAATTAAAAGTGGTTCTAAATACGCAGTATCTTATTGGTATTGAGAATATTTTTAATCAGTCGTTTTGAGGTTTATTTTCTATAAGATTTAAAATCTTTGGTTATTATAAATTCAAAAAAAAAATAAAAAAACTTTCTTAATCAAAAGAATTAGATATGTCAGGAGTTTATTATTGTATCAAAAATTTCACTGAATAAAATTGAATTTCTAGTAATAGAATTTTAATTAAAATTATTTAATAAAAAATAGTTAATTAAAATTAGAAATTCAGAATTGTGATTTTGGATTATTTTCATTAGACAAGTTCTTGTTTTGAATTATTCATAGATAAAAAGATAAATTTGTATATTAATATTTGACTTTTTTAATTTAATTTAGAGACAAAACTATGAACAAACTTACAAACAAATTCATTGATTTATTTTTGAAGGATATAATATTAATTTAAGAATGGTAGAGAGTTAAATTTAAAGTTGTTATTGAACAAAAGAAAAACAAATTGTTTTGATATAGTTGGTGTTTCAATGCATAATCAAATTACTCATTACTTTAGAATAATAAAAATGAAACAAAAGATCAAGATAAGATTCTAAATTTAACAAAGAAGTTTACAAACTAAGTTTGTAAAAATAAAAGATTTAGAAATCAAATTCAAGACATATTTTTTTATTGGTATAACTGTATGGATATAATGTATTCTTGTAAAAGATACATCTGATGATTCTTAATAGATAGTTCAATGAAAATTTTCTGATAGTGTCTAAAGAATATAATCATATTTCTATAATAAATGATATTTTAATTAATAACATAAAAAAGTCTAAATGGTTAAACAAAATAACGACTGTTTAATGGTAAACAAAGTTTGTAAATGAGATAAAACAGAAGAAGTATTTAAAGAGAAAGAATGAATAGATTTGAGTAGGATATAAATAGTAAAATGAATAGTAAAAATAGTTATAAAAGAATAATAAAACGATATGAACAATTCATAAATGAAATTTTGAAGGAAGAAAAAACCCTTGTTTTAATAACAAGGAACTATAGTTGTTGAGTCATTTGTTTATGAAAGTGTTAATACGATTTTATGAAAGTCATCCTGATTTTAGGTTTGGAGAATTTAATAGTTTACTTCGATTATTTCAAGTAAAATGTGAGTATGACCCAAAGACTCTTGACAACGTTTATATGTATGCGACATTTGAAAGTCTTGATGATATAAAAAAAATATGTTCGAGGTCAGTACTAATTAAAACAGTATATGAAATTTGGGGAGAAGCAAAAACATATGAGGAATTAGTTCCTATTGTATATTCAAAAGCTGATGAATTAATTCCTATTCATAAAGGAAAAACATTTAGATTAAAAGTAACATGTTTTGGAAGAAATTATAAACAACCAGAACAAATTGAAAGATTTGACAAATTTAAAGATTTTAAATTATATGATTATCTTGGTAGTGTTAATTTAAAAAAACCAGAATTAAGTATTGCTATTATGGAAAATATTGGTCATCTTAAAAAAGCTACAGAACAACCTAAAAACATTTATTTTGGATATTCTTTATGTAAAGGTAATAGAAAATTGGTTAATCATTTTAGTTTAAAGGTTAGACCATATATTGGAACTACTTCTATGGATCCTGAGTTATGTGTTATTATGTCTAATATGGGCTGTTGTAGACCTGGAACTGTTATGTGTGACCCATTCACTGGAACTGGATCTACATTGGTTACTTCTGCTCATTTTGGATCATATGTTCTTGGGATGGATATTAGTAATGTTGCAATGAGATCAAAAGCATATTATACTAAAAATACTGGAAAGCCACTAAAAGATATTACTACAAATATTGATTATTATAATCTTCGTGACCATTTCTTAGGATTAGTTACTAATGACTTTGCATTATCTTCATTACAAGTTCGTCCAATGTTCGATTGTATTGTTACTGATCCACCATATGGCATAAGAGAAGGTGCAAAAAAGGTTGGAAAAAGAAAACCTGATATGGTTCCTAAACCAGTCATTTGGGGAGAAGATTATCATCCTCATATTCCTCAAAGAATTCAATATGGAATAGATCAAATACTTCATGACCTCTTCTTGTTTGCTGCACAAAACTTAGTTGTTGGTGGAAGATTAGTTTTTTGGTTCCCTTCTATCTTTCCAGAAGACCGTGGAAAAGATTTTCCTAATGAAGTAATGGGATGTTTAGAGTTAGCTGCAAATAGTCTTCAAGTATTGTGTCATTCTTGGGGAAGGAGGTTAATTACATTAACAAAGGTTAGAGAGTTCCAAGGGGAAATGGACATTCCAACAGAATGGGAAAAGGATTTAAGTAACTTCAGAAAACGAGTCCTTGGTCCAGGTAATTGAATGTTTTGATATTATTTAATGTTATATATAGCGAATATTCAATTAAGTATTTATAGAAATATTATTCATTAATTATAATTTTTTCGTATTTTTAGACCACAGAAAATAAAAAAAATCGAACGAATATACTTATTAAATCAAAAAAAAAACATGTCGGGAACTGTCAATAAGAAATAAGAAAAATCCCGAAAATAAATCCCATTACTCAACAAAACTCACAGAAAACAATCTCCATGTTTTTTTCTTTGATAAAACTTGAATGTCTCTTTCAACATTACCCACAAAGAAATTAAGAGATACTAAAAATAGGGCTACCTGAAATCTTATTTTCAGATCAAAGGTGTGAGACTATGACTTCCACAATCAGATTACCAAAGAAAATGAGTGTCTATTATTCTCAATTCAATGACGTCCTCTTTTCAGAAGAAAAAAAACAATTAAACGAAATGGAAATGTGGTTGGAAGTACAAAAGTATTTAGGTCAATGTCAATTAGTAACAATAAATTGTTTGGATGTGAGCATATCTTCTACTCTTACTATTTGGAATTGTCAAATAACTGTAACTCTCAGTAATGACTTTCCTCATCTTTTCGTTATTTTTCCGAAATCATTCGGGTTTTATATCAATAGTCAGCCAAACCAAATTGTTTTTGATTATTTTAATTTTGCTTTAATTGCACTCCAATCAACTGACCACTGTTTTACCCTGAAATTTACTTCATTCACAGAGTTCTCTTTTAATGGTTTGTGTCCCTATTTCTATTTCCTTCCCATTTATTATCTCTGACTTTTCAGATTGTCCCAGTCTTGTAATTACATTACCTTTAATCGAAAATGACCACAAAATGACAACTATTAACTTAAGTATCACTTCCAATAATGTCATGTCTATTCACCCTCGATTCTCATCTTTTTTCGAAATCTCTGAAGTTTCTAACTCACTGGAACATTCAGTATACCTGAAAAGTACACAAGGAATCCTTTTTCAAAATTCTTCATTTTTAGTTATACTATCATCTCTTCCAGATTCTTCAATATTATGTGATGAGGGAAAATCATCTTTTCTTATGAACTCCTCAACGTCATTACTTCCGATAGTATCTGACCGTGTTTCTTATTTTTGTGGTTATATGACTACTTATTCATCCCTAAACGAAAAAGTTCCTTCCTCGTGTCTTATCTTCATTAATATGAAAAATCAAAGCATTATAAATGAAATCCTTAGTTCAATTTCTAAAACTTTGTCTCATTGCAAAGTAATTACAGTTATAAGAATTAACAATAATGATATTGTCATTAAGGACCAATTCGAAAGACTACCTAGTTGTATGTCTGACCAAACAATTATTCCAATTCCTTCTCAGTCTCTTTTAGAGCTTATCAAAACGTATAAAAATGAAGAAAAAGAAATTGAAGTTATTATTGCTACTGATGAAGTGAAATTTCAAACCGAAATATTTCCTTTGATTAGGGAAGGTCATTCAATTACATTATTATGCACAGAAGAAGAAGGGAAAATGCAAAATGACATCAACCTTTATCATGGATTAGATTGTTCTGTTATTCACCATGAGTTAAATGAATCATTCTTACAAAAGATATTTGAAAGAATTCGTCAGAAAGAGAAATTACCAAACATTAAATATAATGAAAATGCAATAGCAATACAAAACTCACCAAGAAGTTTTGTAAAAACACGAAAATCACTTATGTTTATGTGTCCTGCTATGGAAATCAATGAAATCATGTTAGGAAATAAAATACCAGAGAGAAGTCCAATTAGTTGTGCTGAGGCTGTATTATATTTATTTCACCAAATGAAACAATGGTCAGTTTGTGTTCCAAAGTTAAATGCAAAGACAATGATTAGAGAAGAAGTTGTAAAACGTAGATGTATAAGACAAAAAACAACCGAAACACGGAGAGGAGGAAGATGTGTTGCAACTCAGTTAACTCGCGGGTGTAGAGACCAATTAAAAGAACAAGGAGTTTATAATAGTTCATTGTGTGAAAGAACAAGAGAAATGAGTGATATTCAAAGAGAAAAGACTAAGGCAAAAACGGCTCCACGAAGAGGATTAGTTCGAATGGATGGGGTGATAGGATTAACACGA